TTGTCACAATATTCGCAGACCTCACAGACGTTTCTGACACAGTGGACCACAAGAAACAATAAGGTTCGGGCGTCCAGAACAGCTAATGAATATATCGAGCCAAATGCAAAACCGGCTATACGTTAACTCAGAAGACGTCGCCGTTAAGAACGAGGTCGCATACTGGCTCAAACGATGAGAAACTCGTCAACATTCAAGGATATCATGTCCATTCATATAACTCGCTAAGAAAAGCATGCACAACCTTCCGTTCGCCAATAGGTGCACAGTCAATCCTCTCACCGAGGTATACATGCGGTGATGCATGAACCTCATTGCCTCCGGACGCAGAAAACCTTGGAATGACGATTAACACAAGAAAAGCAACAGCCACAGCACTAGTTATGACGTGAACAGTCGAACGCTGGCGTGAGCACTTCGAGCACCTTCTCAACTATGATGAGGAATCAATCACATCCTCTTGCATCCGACTGGTCAATCCTCCTCTCTCACTGGTTGTGAATGAAAAATCCTGCGCGTGCAAGATGAGCGAAGCCTACAGGTATTTGACCACCGCTGTCCGAGGACCATCCTTCTAGTTAAGTACAGGGATTTCGTCTCAAATGAGACAGTCCAAACTCATTGCAACAACACTGCCAGGATATCTCAGGCTATCCAATTAAGGTGATTTGGACATGTCTTCCGTCGTCCGCCTGACGAACTCAACCAAACTGCCCTCGGCTCGGCGCTTTTACACATCTGGAGGCGCCAAATAGGGGTTCAACCAGATATTATCGCCAAATAAAACGTAAAGCACCGGCATTCAGATAAGCAAAAAACCTCACAAACTTACGGAATTTCGGACGACTTTCATCGAAGTCTCCTGCAAGTTGGAGGTCTTCAAGAGCTCAATGACCTTAATTTTCAGTTCCTCGTCGCTGGGGAAAGCCTGCTTCTCTGGTACCATTTTGGCCAGTGGCTGTTCGTCCTCCTCTTCGTCATCGCTCTCCAGGACAGTGCGGCGCTTCTTCGGCGCGGGTTTCGCCGCCTTTACTGCGGCCTTCTTTTCGGATGCAGGCGATAGCGTCTTTGTTTTTGTTTGTTTTGGTGTTTTGGCTGTTTTCCGGGGTTTTTTGGTTTTTTTGGTTTTCTTGTTGCCGGGAGAGTAGACCTCATCATCGTCATCGTTCGACGCCTGATCGCCCTCGGAAGAGTCTTCTTCTTCCTCCTCCTCCTCCGGCTCCGCCTCTTTCACCTTTTTGTCTGCTGCCGCCTTTTGTCGCTTCTTTTTCGGTTCACCCTCATCACTGTCTGAGGAGGAGTCTTCGTGGCTGTCTTCCGCTTCTTCTTCGGTCGTCGCCTTGCGTTTCCGCC